CCCCCCCCCCCAAGTCTGTCCACACCTGGCAGTAGAAGGTCCGCAGTATCTCGCTCACGTCAGCCTTTATCCGCTCATCCCGCTCAACTTGCAACTGCGAAAGCAATTGATTGTGAATAAGCAGCACGAAGGAGGGGCTGAGTGGTACATTAACGACCTGAAATTCCGTGCTGGCACATCACAGCAATGTGCTTGTGCACACCAAATTCACCACCACCACCACCACCAGCACCACCACCACCATTACCACCACCACCACCAGCAGCAGCAGCAGCAGCAGCAGCAGCAGCAGCAGCAGCAGCAGCAGCAGCAGCAGCAGCAGCAGCAGCAGCAGCACATACTGTAGCAACTAGTTTGCACAATCCAACTCCCTTGCCGTGTCTCCCCACACCCACCCACCTCTCTCCGCTGCCGCCGGTCCTCGCCCTCGTTGGCCTGTATCTCAGACTCCAGCAGGCGGCGGCTGATGAGCTCGGGGTTGGTGAAGTGGTCGTCCTGGGCCTGCTTGCCCAAGCCCAGCCGCACGCCCGCCTCAACGCCGGATGCAACAGGCTCCAGGATCCCTGTTGCGGCAGGGTGTGTGTGGCGTCCGGGGATCAGGAGGGGGTTGAGGGGGACAGTGCAGTGCCGTGGGATGCTGCTGCACGTCCGCGTACGGGAGGGAGGGCAGGGGGCCCTGTGCGCGTGCATGGAGCCGGCATGTAACCAAATGTCTTGCTCCTCTTGGGCGGAGGGCACACGAGGCGTACAGCCCTCTGGCAGGTTGTCAGGATTCGCAGGTGGTCCGCGCGCTCCACGACAGGTGGTCGTCGCGCGCCTGCTGCAAGGTCCGCCGCTGCATGGTTCAGCACCCCCCTCCCGATCAGCCTCGCATGCGTCCCAGGGCAACAAGGAGAAACGCACCATCCTCGTTCCTGCCGAGCCCCTTGCCCGCCGCCCACCCCATCTTCTGCAGCAGCTGGTACCCCTTGTTGCCGCTGCCAATAGCGGTTGACACGCTGGCCACAGCGGCTCCGTCCCCATCCTCGCCATCAGCCCCAGGGTACCACCCCAGGCCGCGCCCCTCCTCCTCTGCCAGGCTCATCACATCGCCACCCACATCCATCGCTGGCCCTTTGTCGCCACCACCACCGCCGTCACTGTCACTACCGCTGTCGCGCTTCTGAAGATGCAGGTGCGGGAGGTCGTTGCACAGTTGTTCGTCAAACAGAGCCGAGACGGCCGCAAGTCGTGCCTGTGCTCAGCATGGCAGATGGACGGCACAGGCTGCTGCACGGGAGCGCGATCGAACATGTGGAGGGCGATCGCATAGCCCGTGCAGGGAATTGCTCCCCTGGCCGCATGCAGCACGCACCATCGCGCCAGCGCTGGCGACCATCCCGCGCGGCGCGGCGAGCTTTGCATCCACCACCATAGGCTGCCAAGCGCCTGACATGGCTTCGCTGAAGTTTTCTGGCGGCGTGTGGCGGTGTGCTGCATATACACTTGGCTCTTGATGCTGCGCCGGATCACATCACCATGCAGCAGCACGGTACGCGAGAGTATACCAAAAGACCAGCGACCGAACAAATATCAAGAACAGTTTGACGAGTTATGTTTACATTCGATACGCGCACGTAAGGCTTGCAGCACGCGGGCACAGACCGACCCAATTCACACAAAACCGGGGCCGCCATCCATATACCAATAGCAAAACAATCAAGAATCTCCAAGTGCTGGAACCTACCGGCGGGCTTGCGGCCAAGCGGCGCTGGGGCGGCGCGGCGCTTGTCGCTGCAGCACTCGCTCCAGTGGTGCTGCCGTACCTGAAACGCCCACGCTGATGTCCAACTGCGAGGTCTTTTCACTGCCTGTAGTGGTGAGCCTTGGCCCGGACGGTAGCGCTGGATTGCCTCGTGTGCAACACGAGGGGCTGCACCGCCTGGTATCATCACACCGCCTGAAGCGCTCAAGCTGACTGAAACTCGGAAAGCAGTGGCAACGACTTATTCTGTACGTGGACGTGCTGAAGCTGTGCAGTAGTGGGTTGACCGGGCTGTGATGGCTCTCCATCTGGCGGTGCAGGAGGTGGAGCTGCATCAAGTGCGGGAGGTCTGCAGATGTGAGGGCCGACTTGCTTGTGCCATGCAATTGCAAAACCGGTGTAGGGGTCGCTATGGCGCTTCCTCTTTATCTGCAACCAACGCAGCACAACATGTGAACCAAGCTAGCCGTCGTCTGCACCAAGCGGCACCCAGCCTGCTCAGACGCAGCGCTCGGCTTGGCCGCCAAGGCGAGGCCAACCCTGCTTCACCCCATCCCCCTGCCAGGTGTGCTCCACACCATAGTGTTCAACCGCGCCCTCGGCCATGTGCGGCCCCAGGATGTCGACTCTGAACTCTTTGATGTGACCTACGTGAGCCGTTCATTCTCCGGTGTTGGCAGTGGTGATGGTGGTGGTGGTGGTGGTGGTGGTGGTGGTGGGTGGTGGTGGTGGCGGTGGTGGTGGCGGTGGTTGTGCGGGGGAGGGCGCGAGGAGCGCGGG